AGCCCATGACTTTGTGGGCTTGAGCCCAGGCTTAGTGCGCCAGCTCCTGAACCCCAACGACCCCAGCACAAGTCTGCACGCTTCTGTCCATGGCCATTGAAGGACCTGACACGGCGCAGCCGAGCTTCTACGCTGCGCAATCCACGTCTCTGCAGCTTCGATGTTCAGTGGCATGCAGGGGGCTTGTAGATTCCTCTAGTCGGGACCTGTCGCATCCGACGACCAGAAGTTGTACGACACGTGTGGCTTCGCACGTCGACCGAGCCACTGCCCAAGCCATGCATGTAGGCATATGTAGCAACACCATGTCAAACCACCTGTCCACGACCCTCAATGTTCACACAGCCTGCTCGCGCAACTTTCATGCTTCTGTAACTATACACTCTAAACTCTGTAACCCTAAAGCCCGGATTGTTGTGTACCGAAGGGCTCATGATTCAATTAGCGGTTCACGCCATTCGTCCACGCACCCAGGCCGCGGGTCAACGTCGTCTGGCACAAGATGTCGGACCTGCGGCGGCTTTGCTGGTCCCAGTCTGCACAACGACCTCCACTATCAAGTGGCGAAAAGGTCACCTATGGCATGGATAGTATGATACAGGAGTATAGTCGATGGACACATTGAGGGTGCAGAAATAGAAAGACCTTGTAGGGCACGGCACCTGGAAGCCAAGGCTGCATGACCACGAGCCCGTCTCTCGCGCTCACTTCTCGACGCCGCGGCTACCGGTGGTCCACCTGCATGTCACTTGGCACATGCCAGTGCTGGGTCCAGGAGGGTCCAAGGGCGTCGAATTTCGGCGAATTTTTGTGGGGTTTGGGTTTGGGCTTGGCTGCTGGAGGGCGACCTGGTAGCCTGGGATATGGCGTAGGGCTACTCCGAAGGCAGAGCTCTAGGAGGGGCAGACATCCAGGATCCGGAGAATCCGAAGCTGCAACCTCATCATATTCCTACATTTCAAGGTGGCCTTGTCGGATGCTCATTGTTCCGTGACCCAGGTCTTTGACCCTTTCTGGTTCGGGCAAACCCGCCGGGGTCGCTTCCGCAAGACGGGAGCCGTCCGTGGTCGCCCCTCTGATTGCAAGTCATGCCGAAAGGTCCGTGAGCTCTCAGTCTGCTTCCCCAGTCAAATCAGGGTTTACGAAAATCGGGGACCCCCAATCTTGATCGAGTAGGATCCCCCTATAATAAGGACCCCAACAAGGTACCCCGAATTTCGGAACTCTTGAAACTTGCAGACAGCTACATCGCTGCGTTCAGCTTGCATGTCTCTTTCTTCCAGGCTTTTGGCTGGAATGTGTGGAAGACCTCCGGAATTCGCTCGAGACCCGAGGCAACAGGAGGGTGCAGACTCCTATTCAATTCAAACTCATGCTTGCTTCGGTCTACGGTCTGCGAAAAGGGGAAAACCTCAGCTTCATAAATTGCATTGCGGCCCTGAGAGAGACCGTCATTCCTGCCCAAGCGCACCCTAACAGGCCCAGGAGTCCCAAACGCAAGTTGCGCGCGGTGACTCCGACCAGGACAGCGCTTGTTCTTGAGATGTGGCATGCCGCTTGGCCGAATGCGCCAATGCACCGAGTCACCGGCTTGTCTGCGTCCGTAACGTAGAATCTGCAACAAGCAATATATATATATATATACATATATAAATATATATGGTAGAGTTTCCTTTTGCAACACAATAATACAACACAAGACAACACCATGTAATAGTATGCATACAATACTTTCTGTATAAATTACAAGTTATGTCATGTATTTATGTGCTATATCATATATCGCGTATTAGGTAAAACAAAAGCACCACACATGTTAGCATTCTAGAGCGTTTCTGGTCTAGTGTACCACTCAACATACATACATTAGTACCCCCCCTAACCTCTATCCTCTAACCTCTGTCGGATACATGCTGGTTAGAGGATAGAGGTTGCCAGGGTCCACCCGCCAGGTACTATCTATCTATCTATCCCCACCCCCCCCCCCCCCCCCCCCGGCTTAAATTTTTACGGGAGCCTGTCTATCTATCTATCTATCTGACCCCCCCCCCCGCCACTTGGCTTAAAATTTTACGGGAGCCGTCTATCTATCTATCTAACCCCCCCCCCTCTTGGCTTTTAATTTTACGGGAGCCCTATCTATCTATCTACCTAACCCCCCCCCCCCACCGCGGGTCCCCAATCCCAGCCGCCCGTCGATATATATCTATCTATCCCTTTTCCCCCACCCCCCCCCCTTTTCCCTACATGTCCACCTTTTCCCCCCCCCCACGCCAGCTTAAAAAAAAATTTAAGGGGGCTACGTCTATCTATCTATCTATCTAAAACCCCCACCCACAACCTCCTTCACCCCCCTTCTCTCCGTCTATTTATCTATATCCCCCCCCACCCCCCCCACCCCCACACCCCACCCCCCCCCACCCCCCCCCCCAACCCCCCTTCTTGGCTTTTAAATTGTCCGGGAGACAGTCTATCATCTGTCTACCCCCCCCCCCCCCCCCGCGAGGTCCCCCAATATCCCAGCCGCCCGTATATCTATCTGTCTATCTAAACCCCCCCCCCACTTCTGTCTAAACCCCACCTTTCGGGAGCCCGGGTCTAGTTATCTATCTAACCCCCCCCCACCAGCCGCCGTCTTATCTATCTAACAACCCCCCCCCACTGTCTATCGACCCCGGCTTAAATTGTACAGGAGCCGTCCACTATTCAAAACCCACCCCCCACACCCTTGGAGTTTCCGGTCAGTCAGACCCCGCTGTGTATACTATTACCCCCCCCCCCCTCTTGGCTTTAATTTTACGGAGCCCGTCTATATTCCATCGATCGATCTATCATTATCTAACCCCCCCCCCCCTCTACGAATCCCCACTCTCCCAGCCAACCGCCCGGATCTATCTATCTAAACCACCCCAACCCCCAACCCCCCCACCCCCCCCCCCCCCCCCCATTAAAAATTTTACGGGAAGCCAGACGAAGCCTGAGACGTCTATCTATCTATCCAACCCCCCCCGCCCCCCCTTCGGGTCCATGTCCCCCCCCGCCCCCCCTTCGGGTCCATGTCCGTCAGACCGCCTAGTCTATCTATCTATCTACCCCTATCTATCTATCTATCTATCTGTCTAACCCCCCCCTCCCTCCCAAACCCATCCTCCTATCCCTCTAACCTCTATCCCCCCATTCCCCTAGGAGATAGAGGTTTGCCGGCGTACGTCCTGCATATATACGGTATCCAGCCCAAGTTCACATACACGATCACAGTTATCATCTGTGTTTTTACATGCACACAAAATAACACTAAGAACAAACGCATAAAATAGAGACAACACAAATAGCTTCAAACAATGTGTGTATAAATATATATATATATACACACATACATATACAGAGACATAACCATAGACAGATACAGATACAGATACAGATACATTTGAATATATATATATATATGAGTTTACAACATATATATGCGATGTTATATTTCATTGGGATGGCTAGGTAACTAACCAACCAGCTAGCTAGCAAACTAAAGTTAGTTAGATAGATAGATATGCGTATGATCATCTATCAAACAGAACACGATATGCTTGAGCTGATAGTATACATGTGTATATGTATATGTATATATATATATATACACATGTATAGTAGTATGATCCTTTATCAGATGTGGCCGCCTTGAGGTCTGCTGCCGCGGCCCTGCGGCTGCTTGCTTCGAAAGTGCAGTCACCTGCCCTGTTGAGGGATTGTTTATCTGTTTGGTGGATCGTGGTTCAGACCTCAGCGCATCCTTGTGAACCCTATTCATTATTCCTCAGCCAGACCTGCCGAAATTGAGAAGCAGCACCTTCCTTTGATCATCGGATGTACCCCCCCCCGCCGCCCCGTGGCGCAAAGAAAAGGTCCGACACAACCTAAAGAAATCTTGGATCGAACCTCCGGCGCAGGATTGCCACAGTGTTCACATTTGCAGAGGTTTGCTCCGACGCTCGGCCCGCAGTTGTTTACTTGTAAAACTGCCGGGGTGCTTCTGACATTCGGATCTCCAGACTCTAAACCGCGTCAAGCACCACACGGAGGCGGTGGCGGAGCGTTGCGTTTCTCCATCCAAGGAAGAGCTGGAGCAGGAGGCAGAGTTCGAGGAAGCGCTGCGGCAGCTGACCAAAGGGTCGGCGAAGCTCGTGCGCTGCCCTCTGGCTGCACCTTCTTCGGATTTTGTGTGGAGCTTGCTTGCGCTTCCCACAGTGCAGCCACAGTGCCACATCGGCCGACAGCGAACTACGTAAACACGGCGCCCCTGCCCTCGCAAGCGTCTGGCCGCTGCTGAGGCTGGGGCTACACTTTGCACCACATCGAGGACCTTCAAGACTGCGGGAAGCCACCAGAGCCTCTTTGTCCGCAACACGAGGAATTGCTGTGAGATGCTGTAGGCATAGGCCAGCCATTCCCAAAACAAAGGCAGGGTTGAGTATGAAAATGGCGTGCTTTTCGGCGCCGATTTGGCGCAGCCGCTTCGGGCCTTCCACATCTCGCTGGACCTTCTACATCTCCATCTCCTTGTATTGTTGAGTCTGCTTCCTTGTTCCTGCCAGATATGCCTGTCAAAAGCAGATGTCAACCAAATTGAACATGTGTTGTGGGATGCCGCTCTGGTATGTTAGGTCAAACAAAAGGGTGGACTATGGATTGAGGCGATTTAGGATTTTGGCTTGTGCAGAGGCTGAGTTTTGACAGCTGTTTCGTCTAAAAACGCGAAAATCACCCCTGGCAACGAGTGTAACAAAACCGAGGAGGTGGATCACCCCGCACCTGTCCTTCGGCAGCTTCAAGCGTGAGATCAGCCACTGCAAAGTCCGCCCTGTGGGTGCGGAGTGGTGGCACCTACAACAGTCAGGAGCGGCCTAGGGATCGAGGCAGTGCCCTGTTGGTGCGGGGAGGCCATGCCCCAACACTGGCTACTGAGTTTTGCCGTTGGGCCAGTGATGCCTGGCTGTGTGCCAGGAATGTCTACGCCGCCAGATGTTGACTCGACATGGTGGGGCAATGCCCCTTAGCCAGCACACAATCGCGTTGCGCTCGGCCTTAGCTTTCACTTGTGGCATGGTATATATATATATATATGTATATGTATATGTATATATACATATACATATGTATATATACATACACATGAATCCTTCATATCACTTGACGGATCTGGCAAAGGGCCAAGAGCGGCAAATCTTCTGAAGGAAGCCCCTTCTTCAGCCAGGCACGTCAACCTTCAGCTGCCCCAAAGAGGTCATCCACCAAAGGTGTGCCCCTGTTAGGTTGCAGGATGTTTTGAAAAAATCCTAAACCCTGAACCCTAAACCTAAACCCCTAAACTCTAAACCCTAAACTTGGGTCCCCTACCGGGGGCTTATCTATCCCCCAGGTCCCTTCGCTGTCAGACCTGGGATACGGCTCGGAGGAGCTGCGCGAAGCGGAGGCCGCGCGTCGTTATATCGGCTGAGAATTTTCCCTTAAGCCTTCGAACCCGAAACCCGAAAGAAAGCCCTAAACCCCAAAGCCTAGCCCGAAACCCTAAACCCTAAACCCTAAACCCTACAGAGCTCTGCCGCCACAAGGAGTCGCGGCGCCGCTCCGCGGTGCCCTGGCGCGGTGGGGAGAGCTGCGCGCTGGCGAGGCTGCAGGCACCTGGGGTTGGTGGATGTGGGGGTTTAGGGTTTAGGGTTTAGGGTTTAGGGTTTAGGGTTTAGGGTTTAGGGTTTAGGGTTTAGGGTTTAATTTGGGTTTAGGGTTTAACTAGGGTTTAGGGTTTAGGTTTTAGGGTTTGGGGTTTAGGGTTTCGGGTTTTGGGTTTGGGGGCACCCTCTTTGCGGGTCTCTTCTATGGGATTCTATTCTATTTGGTGCATAAAAAAGTGGTACCCCAGTTTTGGGAACCCCAGATAAACCCCACAAGTTATCCCAAAAAAGGCTTTGCTTGGGGGGCCGCTGCAGCGTGAGGCTTTCATTTGGGAGCGCCGGGCTCTGAAGCAGTATGTGGGCACCACGGACTGGACGGCCAGCGGCAAGTGCACCGCGTCTAACGACCAGACCTCGAAGCTTCCTGGCAGTCGGGATTGGAAACTGTTAGGGTTTAGGGTTGATAGGGTTTAGGGTTTAAGGGTTAGGGTTTAGGGTTTAGGGTTTAGGGTTTAGGGTTTAGGGTTTAGTGCGTGGCTCATGTCGCTTCCTATTTCGAAGTTGGTATTAGCCTCACCAGCCTCACCTTCACAACCTTGTATGCTATCAGCAAGCCCAGCAGAAGGTTGTCTCCCTACTTGGCCTTCGGCTGCCTGTCTCCCCGGCTCCTTTACTGGGAGATCCAGCGCTTCGAGAAGAGCGACCGATGCACTTCGACTGCACTGAGCTACGGGCGTTGGCGGTGTTGCGCTTTGCAGTGCGGGGTGCACAAAAGGTGTCGGGTTTAGGTGGGTCTTTACCTGAACTTGTAGGCCGTTAGGCCTGACGAAGGCGCCGGAAGGTGCAGCAGTGGCTTACACGCTTCCCAACCAAAAGCCGGACCTGGTTCAGCGATCTTTGATCGCCTTGCCCTTTGCATGTTGAAAACTCGGACCCCAGGACTCAACAGCGATTCGTCCTCCAGCTGCCTTTTCAATGACAGGGGAGGTGTGGGCTGGCAATTACCAGAGATTTCTATAGAAGACTTCAAGGAGGTCTGCCCGGAGCCCCAGCAATCACGGGATTGCACCCTATTCTGTCGAACCCCTTAAAACTTGACTCCCCAGACAGGTTTTTGGCTTCAGGGAGGGGGGGGGGCATGCTTTGCAGATGGTGAATCCATCTGCTTAAAGAAGCTCGCACGATCTTGCGTCTGAGGCAAGGGCTGCAGAGGCTTGGTGAACTCGCTGCTCTGGCGCGACTTCTACCGCTTCATCGTCCACTATGCCTGGGGGAACCGGACCATGGACTGCATCTACAATTTGTTGCTACACCGGCCTGACTCACCACGACTTCTGTACCAAATCTTCCCCAATCTAGATTGAATAATATAACAATACTAGTAATAAAAAATAGTAATAATAATAATCATAGTAATAATATCAATGACAAGAATAATGAGCCATGACAATCTAAGGATGTATCATCTCTTCGGTCCCATGAGCTGCGGCTCCCTTCCGGGCGGCCACAAGACGCCGACCCAGCGGCCACTCGTCCCAAGAGCCGTGGTGCCTGGCATGTGGAGGGGCATCGTGGGAGTTGTTCTGCGTGCGTGGGGCTGTTGAAATGGGAAATCAACCAGGTTTTTAGGGTTTAGGGTTTATAGGGTGACACGAGGTGTTCTTGGCAAGGATGTAACACGGGCTAAAAGGGCCACAGGAGCTGTGTCGCTTCTTATGTGCGAGGTGCTGCAAGCACTACACCAGCCTCTTCGGAGGCTCCGGCATTTGCCATGTACTTCCATCATGCTCTGGTTTGAGATCTGGATCAGGCTTTTGCTCATTGTTCTATTTTTTCGAATTATCACACGTTACATGATGCTACTTTGTACTATACTGTATGATATTATCCTATATGAGACACATGCTTGTGTTTGTTCATCCAAGGCCTACCTGTGTGAGTGCGTGTGAGTGTGTGTGTGTGTGTGTGTGTGTTTGTTTTTTATCAATGAATGTTTAGGTTGTGCGCCGCCCTCAGACGTAGTTTTTTCTTCTTATCGTTTTCCAAGAAAAACCTCTATCCTACCAACAGGGGTTCATAACGAAGAGGCGCGGGGTTGTTGCACAACCCCACATTGCCTGCAGGCAGGAGTGAGGGGGAGGAGCGGGCGGGAATGCGTTTTCCAGGCCTCCGAAAACGCATTTTGCTGGCAGGCAAGAGTTGGGGGGGGGGGGGGGGGCAGGCGGAATGCATTTTAAGAGAGGGACTGCATTTTCCAGGGCTTGCTTGCAGGCAGGAGTGAGGGAGGGAGGGAGGGGGCGGGGGGAATGCGTTTTCCAGGCCTTCCAAAACGCATGTTGCTGGCAGGAGGTGGGAAGGAGGGGGCGGCAAATGGGCTGCGTTTTCCAGGCCTCCTAAAACGCATTTTGCTGGCAGGCGAGAGTTTGGGGGCGGAAGGGGGGGGGGGGGCAGGCGGAATGCATTTTAAGAGCGGGAAGGTTTTCTTCAGGGCTTCCAAACGCACTTTGCTTGCAGGCGGGAGTGGGAGGGGGGGGGATGCATTTTCCAGGCCTTCCAAAACGCATTTTGCTGGCAGGAGGTGGGAAGGAAGGGGCGGCAAATGGGCTGCGTTATCCAGGCCTCCTAAAACGCATTTAATTTGCTGGCAGGCGAGAGTTTGGGGGCGGAACGGGGGGGGGGGGGCAGGCGGAATGCATTTTAAGAGCGGGAAGGTTTTCTTCAGGGCTTCCAAATGGGGATGCGTTTTCCAGGCCTTCCAAAATGCATTTTGCTGGCAGTGGTAAGGAGGGGAGGGGGCTTGCAGGCAGGGAAAGGCGGAATGCATTTGGTTTGTATGCGGGGAGAGGCGGTTGTCGTTCTCCAGGCCTTTCGCAGGCGGGAATGGGGGAGGCGGAATGTGGTTTCCACGCTTCCAAAACGCATCTGGCTTCCAGGCGGGGAAAGGCGGAAGACTGCGTTTTCCAGGCCCTCCCAATTGTTTTCAGCAACAAAGGAAAACGCAGCTTTTCAACCGGCTTTGGCCGGAAGGATTGTGCAATTACGGTGGGGGGGGGGGGGGTTATAATTACGTTCTGGGATTTGGAGTGTGCAATAACCGGGGGGGGGGGGTTTATTAATATGAGGTCAACATTGGTAAAGAAAGGTAGATGGTAACACGGACAAAGCGTAGCACCTTTGTGGAGCTGAGTCCAGTGGCACGTCCTTCTCTGAAGCGGTCTGTCAAAGTCATGGAGTTTTGCGTTTGGGGCTTGCGGTTGGGGGGTGATTGAACAGGCTCGGATCCTCGGCTGTGGACTTGGGAGCGGAACATGGACAAGTTCGGCAAGTGGGCTCATGGCAAGCTGGCTTTTAAGGGCTTTTGGGGCTGTTGCACGGCAGTGTATGTATCTCGGTTTCACAGCATAGCCAGAAATTGCGCGTTGCCACATCGATGAGTTCTTGTGTTGCTACGGGTATGAATCGATTATTATGATCTTTACCTTTATCATTATAGTCATTGTTGTTCATGTCATTATGATCGTCATTCTTATTGAGGGCCGGGATACCGTACGGCTTGCCCTGCACTCGCTCCCCAGGCACGACGGGATATCCCTTCGTGGACGCCGCGATGCTGGAGCTGAAGTGCTTTGGCTCTCCTCCGCATAGAGTAGTTTAGCCACTACTTGAGTAAGAGGCAACAGCGCAGCGTGGGCAAGAGGATTCGCGGCTGGGAGCTTTTAATCTCCGGAAATCATCCAAACGAAGTGCATGAACTGCAGAGAACTGACCAAATAAGGGCTAGAAGCTGGTTCGTTTTATTCTATGCCTGGAGAGAAACATTCCGCTTTGCTTCTTTTTCTCCACCGTGTTTCTGCTTCATGCATCCGAGGGAGACGGGCTACATGCTGCACCTCAATCGGGAGACCGTTGGCTGGCCGCTGTTCTACAGATGTGGGAGCTCTACGGGGGGGAGACTCGGGGAGGGTCTTATGATGGTCCCTGGTTGGGAGTCTCGCTCTCTCTCTCTCTCTCTCTCTCTCTCTCTCTGTCTCTTTCTTGAGTTGCGCAGGGAGAAGGTGGAGAATTGATCCCGCAACCATTCCTCAACCAACATCCCGAGGTTCTTCGTCCGCGACCTCCAGTTGGATTGGCGACTTGCGGCTGAGTGGTTCGAGAGCCGCCTGCTTGAGCCTTGGCCCTCAAAGCAACTCTCAAGGAACGTTGGGCGGGGGTCCTCCTGCCTTGTCGGAGGTGTTTGCATAAAGGGCAAGTTTAGGTAACCTATGCGGGGACCAGCTACTGGCATGGGAATATCGGAATTAGAAGGTGTAGCTAGACTGAGGTATATCGGGAACGTGGGTTTCCATGGCGCTGTCTTGGGTTCTCCGTGCCTTAGGGTTCTCAGCATGGATGGTCCGAAGCCCTGCAAGCTACCGTGAGCTGGCTTGAGGCGCTATTCGGACTTCCCCTGACCTTTCTTCAACATTCCAAGCGTTCAGGACTACGACTGCGTGCTGAATTGGGGCAATTGGGCTTCTTGACTGCTGGCTATCATGGTGGCGGCGCTGTGTCGTCTAGCGTAATCTTTTGTGACCTTGTGTTTCTTTATTCAGCTTACACTGAGCACTTGGGTCTCAGAGCACCCAAGTCTCTAAGGTATATTTCATCCTGACCCAGCTGCCCGCAGGCGAAGACAAGTTGCCCAGGCTTGTGCCGTTAAGCTCCCTAAACCCATAGTTCCCCATCAACCCCCACAATGCCCGTCATCCTGTCGGACTGGGGCCGATTTAGAATGCGCCGTTTGGGAAGTGGACGATTTTAACAATTACGTTGTCATGATCATTCGTGCAGTAGTGTTTCTGTTGGGTCTTCAGGCGATTATACAATTAGCTCTATGATTACGTGGTGCTCACCACCTTCCATAGCCAGTGCTGTAATCACCGGCCTCTTGAAGGTTGTCCTGCTGTTTCGACTGCTACTGGTATCTAGATAGCCTCGCAAACTGTGGTGACCTCGCATGCCATGCCATGCATTGCAAGGGTTCGTGGTGCTGAGCTACAGAAGCCTCAGCCAATGATAAGCTCTTGTGTTGACTTCCCCTCGCAGACCCGCGAACCCTTGAAAATCCATCACGTCCCGTTCAGGTATTCTCCATACCTGATGGCGACGCAGGCTCCTCCTTTTGCCAGGAAGGAATATGTAGTGGCCTATTCTCAATGTAGAAGTACATGTGTAACTCCATAAGTCCGAAGGAGGAGTTCACTGCACCTCAAGATGCTGCCAATGTGCTTTAAGTTCCGGTTTCCTGCCTCTCTTGGGCGCTAGCCAGCGGATTTTTTGTGGATGTCCTCCTGGCTTTTTCCAGTGTGATTCCCACACATTCAGGACTCGAAAATCTGCGACGGCAAATCCCTGCAGGTACATAACTCGAGATTGTGCTGCGAAGCTTGAGGCGCCCAAGCCCAAAAGCCTTACGGCTCAGCTCTAACACACACGTCCGCAGCACGGCCTGACTAGCAACAACTTTGGCCCACAGGCAGCTCGAAGGTGCCAACGCCTGACCGGTTCACGGCGGAAACGGCGCAGACAAATGTCTCACAGCAGCCCCCTCCCATGAAACTCCAAACATACCTCCAATGTCCCCAAAAAAGAGGGGATTTTTGGAAACAATTGCCAGCCGAAGGTGCTGGGCTGGGGTCGAGATCACGACCCCTCCGCCGGGTATGTCGCTCGGCATCATGCGGAAAATCTCCTAACTCAGCACTTCAGAAAGCCTAGCCCTCAGGGGACTCCTTCAAAAGAACTGCCTTCTTTTCGTATTTCCTTGGGAAGATCCCTGGGAAGATTTTGGAAGTGAGGTGAAGAGCTGGATCCCAGCCCTCCGATCACTTCCCACCGAACTGGCGCGCGAGCCCTGGAGCCCTGGAAGCCGATGGATTAAGCGGCTTCGGGTTTAGGGTTTAGGGTGTAGGGTGTAGGGTTTAGGGTGTAGGGTTTAGGGCCTAGGGTTTAGGGAACCCCAAAGTCCCCGAAGTCCCTAAAAGCCCTAAGTCCGTCAAGTTCCGCAAGTCCTCTCTATAGCCTTTTGTGTGACAGGCGAGAAAAAAAGGGGAAGCTCAGTATGTTAGATCAATCCCGGCGAAGTGGTGCCTTGAAATGTCCACAAGCCCCCATGCAATGACAGTACTTGCTCAGAGTCGTTGGGCTGATCGACGCTGAACCGGAGAACCTCAGCCGCGCAGTCTAGTGGCTTCCTCCTCCTGCACCCACCATTCGCTCAGAAGGCTCCCTCCCCCCCCCACCCCCCACCTCCAAAGAAGGATCTTCTTTGTGCTTACTTTGACAAAGTCTGCTTACACATGAGGGTCTATTCTTTGTAGGGGCTCTCGTATACTAATATAGAACCCCTATTCTAATTATGAAGGCTCCTATATTGCTACGCATAGAGAGCCTCTCAAGCTGCGTTTATACTCTAGCAACTCCCAAAACCCTATTCTAATCATTAAGGCCTCAAAATTACCCTAAACCCTAAACCCTAAACCCTAAACCCTAAACCCTAAACCCTAAACCCTAAACCCTAAACCCTAAACCCTAAACCCTAAACCCTAAACCCTAAACCCTAAAC